AGAAATCTGGAAATTTTGCGCCATTCCGCCGTATTTTTTCATTCTGCCAGAAGATAATGAGCTTTGACTGGCGAATCGTCTTTTTGCTTTCTAGCGCCAGCGGAGAAAGCAACGCGAAAATACTCTTTTCAATATAGCCGCCACCGTCGTCGTCGCCGCCGCCGCGGCGGATCCGCGAGTGGGACGAGGACGAATCTAATTCAGAGATCTCTCACTCTCGCTCGCGGCCCATTACACGAGTCCACTGTCTGCAGTAGTGGTGGAGCAGGCAACAGCAGCGGATTCGAACCTGTTTCATTACCTCTACTCTCTCTCGTGCGCGCGTTCTCTCTCTCTCTCTCGCTCTCTTTGTCCTTTCGCCCGGCAGACGCGTCTATTCATCTCTTTCTATTATCTCCACTTTGCGGCCTCTCCCGGCTCTTTCGCCTTTTTTTCTCTCGCTCCATCGTCGCCGTCTCGCCGCCGCCACCGCCACCGCCGCCGCTGCTCAGCTCTCTCTCTCTCTCTCTCTCTCTCTCTCTCTCTCTCTCTCTCTCTCTCTCGCAGCGAGCATATCTTTTTAAGCAGAGCCGCACGTTGTTCGTGTTTTAGTGGCTCTGTTCTGTTCTCTCTCGCTCTCTCATTCGCCGGCGCGCGTGTATCATGTGCCAGCCAGAGAAGCAGCCAGCAAAGAGGAACAGAGGGATCCGCTGCCCTCCTGCTGGTGGCGGTGGTGCCGGTGCCGCCGCCGTTGCAACCCTTCAATTAACCCTGGCCAACGTTGTACTTGGCTCTCGGTCTCCCACTCCGTTTTTCATTTGGACAGGCCGCCAAGCCATTGTCCCGATCGCATTATTGCTCTGCCGTTGGAATTCATCCACGCGTCCGACCACACCCGACCCTATCTGCTCGAGAGGAAGCGAGAGATCGAGTCTTAATCGCAGCGTCCCGTCGTCGTCGTTGACTTGGTCGTCCCGGCTAACGGCGCCAGCAGTCAGGGAAACGAGTTTCGAGGTCGCGAGAGCGAACACAGCAAACTAGCTGCATTGCATAATTCCGAGTTGCAGAGCCAGCGCCGAGAGATTTCCATAACGGATCCCCACGATAATCGGCGGCGCGGCGCAGGCGGCGGTGGCGGCGGCGGCAGCGGGCGACGGTGCAGAGTGGAAAGCGCGCCGTCGCGATTACGGGCGTGTTTTGACTGCGTGTCGCATGAATAAAGATGAAACGCGCTCGCGCGCGGCACTCGGACGGCTCTCGGGCGACTCTCGGGCGGCTCTCGGGCGGCTCTCGGGCGGCTCTCGGGCGGCTCTCACGCGGCTCTCGCGCGGCTCTCGCGTGGCTCTCGCACGGCTCTCACGCGGCGCCGAGACGGAAGTGGGCTGCGAGATAGGGATCGTGGCCCCGGCGTCGTCGTGCTCTATCTGCGCGCTCTAACAAGCTTCTATTTTCGCCGGAGACGCGAGCTAACCAGCCGGCCGACCTCGCGGCACTCCGGCGCGGCTATTGACGCGTTCGAGCCGGCGGGCGGGCGGCCGAGCGAGCGAGCGAGATAAACGGCCGGCCTTGCACGTCGTTATGGGATTTCTCATTTGAGCGCCGGCGAGCGCGACTGCGGCCGCGAGACGATTTACTTGTTGCGCGCACTCGCCTCGGCTCGAGGCTTCGCGGCCGGCGCGCTTTTTCGAGGCCTCGCTTTTTCCGCTCCACTCGTTAACGCAGCGATAACGGCGACTTTTCCTCGCTCGCCTCGGCTCGACCACTCGACTCGGCGACTCAGGCCGTCGCTCTGCCGCCGGCCAGCCGCCGGTCTGCCGCCAACGCCGCCGCCGCCGCGGCCGAGTCGACGAGCCGAGCGCCGCCTGCAGCCGCTCGCTCGCTTGCATAATTAATGGCCCTCGTGACGTCGAGAGATTTTCGATAGCGTAATTGCTCGCAGATTGTCTCGAGCGGCGATGAAAGCTGGCGCAGCCGCGGCCGAGAGCGAGAGAGCTCGCTCGCCGCGCATTCGTCTAATTATGGAAAGTCGATGGCAGCGAAAGAGAGCGGCCGGGTGCGGGCGAGTCAGCCAATGCGTGTCCCGAGCGGCAAACAAAGGAATGGAAGCTCAAACATCCGCGAGCATTTGCCGAGCGACTGCATGCCCCTCCGGATTGGCCTAGCCGCGCTCGTGGCGGCCCTTTTCCGTCTGGCCTTGGCCGAGCGCCTCAGTTGGCGACGCCGGCCTGCTAGCAGCATGTCACGGGCAAGGGGGCTAGTAACGAGGCAGTCACGCGCGATCAGGCGTATACACGAGGCTCAGCTGGAGAGAGCCGGCAGCCCATTAGTTGATCGTCGCGTTTGTTGTAGCAGGTTTTGTTGCTGCGGCCGGGCGAGCGAGCGCCCGTGTAATTTGGCGCTCGTGGGCCGCTTTTATCGACGCCAAATTACACGGCAGCCGCGGCCGGCGGCCGGCGGCCGGCGACTCGCCGGCCAGCGGCGCTCTAGATGATGTGTATGCTCGGTCCACCGCGTCTCGTCCCCCGGCAAGATTGAAATATTCGAGGCTGTCGCGTCGAGGCTCGTTGCGCATTCCATGCGGCTACCGCGTAAATTCAGTCTACACGCGCGCGCGCGGAGCCAGCCGCAGCGAGCGAGCGGGCGAGCGAGCAAGAAAGCTGGAGCGAGAGAGAGAGAAATAGCGAGTTAAGTAACCGCAGAGAGCGCCGCGAATCGTGATCATCGTCCGCTCCGCTCGCCGAGAATCCAAGATCGCGCTTCGCTTTTAAATGCCTCGTTTTCAGCGTGTCATGAATTATTAGATTCTCTCGGGCTGACTGCTAAGTGCACGCAAGTACGCGCACGTTGTTAAAGGCACGCCTTTGACTAGCGAGAAAGGGACAGCTAGTCGAGACGCAAAAAGCCAGTAGTCGTGCGAGTGCGCCTTTTATATGGTCGGTTTAGCAGCGCTCGTTCCGCGGAAAAATGCGAAGTCGCGCTCGTGTCTACGGGACCTTTAGCCGGAGCAACCAAGAGAGACCCAGAGAGAGAGAGAGAGAGAGAGAGACAGAAAAGGAGAATGATGGGGAGCGCGCGCGCGAGAAAGAGAGAGAGCGATCAATGACAAGTTGCTGCCTCTCGCTCGGTCAATCAAGATATAGGCTCTCTCTCTCTCGCTCGCGCTAAGCGCCGAGTGCCGACAGCTGAGAATCCGAAAAAGTAGAAAAGACCTTCGTGCGGCGGTAAAACGTAGCAGCAGTTCGAATCGGATAATAAAGAAAGAGCTGCTGTTGCTGGCGGCGGCGGCGACGGCAAGGGAGAGCGAGAGAGAGAGACGAGGAAGGAGATAAACAGCGGAGCTCTCTGCGGCTCTCGGAATTTCTCTCGGCTGCTGCTGCCGCCGCTGCTGCCGCCGCGGGAGAGTGAGGAGGGTGCCGGGAGGGAGCTGCTGGCGGAGAGCCGGCTGACTCCATCTCGAGAATTGCCGCGCTCAAGCTGCTTCAGTGCCAGCGCTATAGCTATACCGCGCGAAAGGAGAGTGAGAGAGAGAGAGAGAGAGAGAGAAGACTGGCTGTTGGCGAGAGGCTGGCGGCGCCGCGAGAATAGCTGTGAGGTCCGCCGCCGCCGCCGCCGCCGCCGCCGAGAGCTGCTCTGCGCGCGTATCTGACGCCGCCGCCGCTGCTGCTTCGGAAAGTGACTAATGACTGGCCGGGCAGCGAGCGAGCGAGACTGCTTCCATTTCTTATCTCTGTCTCTCTCTCTCTCTCTCTCGCCTGCTCGCTGGCTGCCTCGCTCGCTCACTCGCGTCGACGGTCAACCGTGAAAAATGACTACGGGGCCGCTCCTCTCTTTATCTTCCGCGCCGCTTTACACTAATAAGGAGCGAGTCGGCCCAAGCGCCAACGGGAATATAATCACGCGGTACTCACCGCGCTGGCGGCGCGGCTGCCGCCGCTTGCTCAACTGCGAGCGGCGGGCAGAAGGAAGCTAAGGATCGCCAATTTTCATCGCTCGAGCCGTGTAACTACGCGCCACTGCGAATCATCATCACGACCATTAGCTAGGCCTTTTTTCCTGCGCGCCGAGTCGCAGCTCGCGCGGTCTCTAATGAACCTCTCTCCGCTACTCGTTTTAGTCGCCATTGATAATCAGTCGCTCGGCCGCTGCCACCGCCGCCGCCGCCGCCGCCGCCGCCGCCACCGCCACTGCCGGCTGCTACCACTTCGCTCGGCAATAATTAGCTGAAAAGCGCGCATACGTATAGCCGCGCATAGTCGTAAATCGCTGCGGCGGCGGCACGCCAAGCTCGCATTTGCAAGTGGCCTCCTTCTGCTCCCTCTCTATAGCGCGCACACATTGCTCTCCCTCCCTCTCGCCCCGACGGCGTATAATTAGGCGTAATGAAGCGGGCACCTTATCTGCTGCTCGCGCTCTTATACTCGGCCACGAGTGCGGAGCGCTATGCGGGAGCACAGCGGAGCGAGAGAGAGAGAGAGAGAGAGAGAGAGAGAGAAAAGGCGGCGAAACTCGCGCCCGCAAGTGAAACGGCGTTGTGGCGGTGGCAGCGGCGGCAGACCTGATTAATTCACAGCGCGCGCGCACCAGCGCCAGCGACGGCGACGGCGGCGGCGGCGGCAGCGGCGGCGGCAGCGGCGGCGGCGGCGCCCGATCCTATGGCCCCTTTGAAGCGCGTTAACAGCGTCGGCAGCGCGCTGCTCCGGTGCATAATAAAATATGCGCCGGCTCCCCGCTCGCTCGCTCGCTCGCTCGCTCGCTCGCTTCTGCAGCTCGGGCTCGAGCTCGTTCACAAAAGGGATAGCGCGCGGAGCCACAGCCGCGCGCATCGATTTTTCCTGCAGCGAGGCTCGTTGTATATTCCGCCGCGCTCGACAGTCAACGTGTCAGATGGAGATACGTCGAGTGCGACGCACGTGCGATCGCTCAATTCCCGCTGGCGCGCCGCGGCGACCTACGCGGCCCACTATAACTATACTCCCATGCTCGGATAGATGGATGCATAGATATATAGATTTTAAGCTTACCTTGTTGTGAGGCGGCTGCGTGGGCACGTAGAGCGGGGGATCGAGCCCGGGAGTGGTGACGGCGTGTCTGCCGATAATCCTGTCGGCGGGCTTGGCCTCGTAGCCCTCCGGCTGCCCGATGTGAAATCCCTTGCTCTTCACCCAAAACCGAAACTTGCTGTTCTCCGCGCTGTTCACCTCCTCTCCCCGCAGCGTCCGCAGTATTCGCGCGTACTTCTTGATCGTGATCGTCTTCGTTTTCGCCAGGTCCCCGTAGGTCGTGATCACCCACGGCTGGTACGTGTTGAACATGGCGTCGGTGGGAAAGTTTTTCGGCAAGCCGACGGCCGGCTGTGGCTGTGACGGTTGCTGCTGCTGCTGTTGCTGTTGCTGTTGCTGCTGCTGTTGCTGCTGCTGCTTCTGCTGCTGCTGCTGTTGCTGCTGCTGCTGCTGTGCACTCGCGGCCGTCTCGCTCGTGGCCGTCGACGTGGCCGCGGCCGAGCTCGAGCTGCTGTTGCTTTTGGACGTCGACGGGAAGGCTGCGGCCGCGGAGAAGGCGAGGCTGATGGGATCCGCCGTGCTGGCGTCCTGATTGGGCCAATTGGGCCTGGGGCCGGCTCCAGCGGTCATGTTGGAAATGTCGAGGTAGGAGACTGCCGCGCCGGGCGCCTTGCCAAGACTCGCCGCGGCGTTGCCGACGAAGGTCGCCATCGACGACAGATAGCTGACCGGCGAGGGCAGGGCGTTGGAGCAGAGGGCCGCTTGATCCTGCAGCGAGAGGCCGGCGATCGAAGCGAACTGGCGCGTGTCCGACCAATGCGGCGGCGTCACCTTTTTGGCCATCTCGAGCTCCTTGGCTTTCGCGGCGGCCACTCGGGAGCTGTTGCGGGCCTTCTTTGGCGCGGGCTCCGGCGAGTTGAGATTGCCCTGGGACGGGCTGTTGTTATTGTCCGAGCGCGTGCGCTTGCTGCCGCCTGCACCGCTATGGCTGCTGCTGCTGGTGCTGGCGGCGCTGCTGGTGCTAGTGCTGCTGGTGCTTGGGGTAGAGCTCGTCGTGGAGACTTGGTGCACTCGGCGTCGCAGGCCCATTGTCGCTGTTGCCATTGTCTGCGCTCGGCTGCTCGGGCTGCCGAGAATAGAAGAGAGAGATGAGAACACTTTTAACGTCACGTATTCACTGCACAAAACTCTCGCTCAAGAGGTATACGCACTGTGAATTCAAGTTTTGCTCCTGCGCTTCTTATCCATAATCTCCGAGTGCGAGGGCACTCGATTACTGCTATACTTCCTGCGAACAAACGAAAATATTCATGACGGTGGTAGCGCCGATGGAGCAAGTTTTGTTCCTCGCTCGTGCAGTTGATAATTGCGTGAAACTTGCGGGAAAAATAAAGTGCGTTGGGAAAAGTTGACGGAAAGTTTAGTGTTGGCGGGCCAGAGCCGATGGTCAGAGAGAGCGAGAGAGCGAGAGAGCGAGAGAGAGATGGGACGACAATTACACTGGATAATTCGAGAAAGCGGGCTGGCTGGCAGGCAGGCAGGCAGGCAGGCAGGCAGGCAGCCAGCCCCTCGGCTCAACCGGAGAATCGCGGAGTGGGGCGGCAAGGGCCGGAGGGAGGCGGCGGCGGGCAGGCGAGGTAGACGAAGCATTAAAGCGGCCGCAGCAATATAATCCGTTAATAGGGCGCGCTCGAGCGCGGTCGAAAGACACTATAGAAAATCCATAGCGTATAAGCAATCAGCAATAAGTGCGCGCGGCGTACGTGCTATAGGGAAAAGAAGGGAAGGGAGCTCTGGCGCGGATAGGAGCCAAGTGCCCGCATGCGGAATAATAATACGCTCGACTCGGCTTTGCTCGGCTGGCTCGTGCAGCCAGCCAGGCCAGGGGGCCGGGGCCGCCGGGGCCGCCGCGGCCGCCGCGGCCGCCGCCGATAGACATAACGCACACTTGCACGGGAGCGTCATCGCTCTAATGACGTAGGTGTGTCGAGCGTGCAGCCGCTCGGCGCCCTACCCTGCCCGCCCGACCGCCTGTCGGCCCGCCGTCGCTTACATATTTCTCGGTGGTGCGAGCACGAAATAAGCCCTCGTTGTTCGCTGCTCCCGAAATTGAATGCATCCGCGCGGGTCAGCAGCCAGCTAACCAGCCCCTACATCTGACGCGCCGCCGCGCTCCACGCAAACTCCAGCTCGGGCAGCGCGCTTGTGTGTACAGCTGACGCCGCCGTCGTCGCCGCGACGACGATTGGCCCATATGCGCCAACGCGCTAAGTGCGATACGCCGTTATGCGCTCTTCGCTCGCTCGCGGAGCTTAATGATCCGGCAGCTCGAGTGCGTCCGGCTGTGCTGAATTTAAACATCGGAGCGATTCCGACTGCTGCGTGGCCGCAGCAGTTCGCACGCCAATTCTCGCGCTGCTCACGCTGCTCGCGCCTTTCGCGCGAGGAGCGCCAGCCGAGTTGCGGGAGGCGGCCAATCGGGCCGGGACTCCGCGGCGAGTTCGGCTGTAATTGATCGCGACGGGCGCCCGCGCAAGGGGTCAATAATGCATAGGGGACGCGCGAGATGAGAGCCGAGCGCACGTAAGTGAGCGAACCGTTAAAGCCGCCAAGGCTGAATTCCCAAACGGGCGGGTGTGGCGGCGGTGTGCGAGCGAGCGAGAGAGCAAACGAGAGAGCGGCCCGCGCCGGCCACCGGAACGGATGCCGCTACCGCCCCCGCCACTCAGCCTTCTCACTTGCTCGCCTCCTCTTTCCCTTCCTCCCTCCCCTCCTCCTCCTCCTCCCACCGCCGCCCCCTCGTTACCCGTCCGTCCGTTCGTCCGTCCGTCCGCCCGTCGTTTTCCGACACGCGGGCGAGATTTTCGCGCTCGCTTCGATCGTCGGGCCGAGAGAAGACGGCCACTTGACCCGCGACAGCCGGTTGCTCTTTTTTCGCCAGACTAATTTGCCGGCCCAACGAGATCTGCGTCGTCGCGCGACAGCCGTAAAACAGCACGCCAGTATTTCGGCGCAGTGGGTTTGGTCGAGGTCCTCCCAAATCAGGCCTCATACTTGACACGCTTGCTCGCGGCGAACGAAAAAAGTCACGTTTTTAACGGCAAATAAAAGCGATCGCTCCTCGCCAATCACGCCCGTGGCCTGGCCGTAAAAATTTAACGAGCCGCAGTAAAGCGCGCACTGCCGTCGTCGCGCGCGCGCCCGCGGGAGACAGAGAGAGAGAGAGAGAGAGAGAGAGAGAGAGAGAGAGAGAGAGAAAGAGAGAGAGGACGGAGAGAGAGAGAGAGATACCCGTGAGACGCGAATGCCAATTGACCGCGAAGAAATCCGAAGCGATAAACGCTGCGGATTTTGCAATTGGCGAAAAGTAGCGACAAGCAGACGACAAAAGACTAGCCAATATTGCAGTCGCAGCGAGACGAGCAAGCAGAAAGAGAGCGAGAGAGAGAGAGCGAGAGAGAGAGAGAGAGAGAGAGAGAGAGAGAAAAAAGCAGCCAAGCAGAGAGTGAAGAAATGAGTGACTTACGGTCAGTACGGTGAGGCGCGTGCGGATGCAGGTGCACTCGTGTCCGGCATACAGGTAAGAGCGCAGTGGTCGGCTATAGAGGCGAGACGGCGAGCGACAGCGCGCGAGAGCCGAGCCGAGCCGAGCCGAGTGAAGCGGAGCGGAGAGCGCGCGAGCGCGAGAAGCAGGCGGGCCGGCGTGCGACGGGACACTGTGAGTGAGCGCTGGCGCGCGGGTGGCTGGCTGGCAAGCGCAGGCAGGCGGCAGGCTGGCAGGCAGGCAGGCAGGCGGGCAGGCGGCAGGCTGCTGGCGCACGCTCGTCGACTCTACGGGACGGGACGATCGCGCGCCACCGGCCCGGGACCCTATCGCAGCGACGCGCAACACGACTACCACCACTACCACTACTACCGCCACCGCCGCCGCCGCCACCGCCGCCGCTTTCCGTCTGCTGCAGTGAAACAGAGAAGCGGCGGTGGCGAAGCGGAGCGGCGGCGGCGGCGGTGCGGCGGAGCGGAGGGGGCCGCGCGAGCAGTCGAGCAGCCGCGAGAGAAAGAGCGAGCGAGCGAGCGAGCGGGCGAGCGAGTGAGAGAGAGAGAGAGAGAACACACGCACGTGCAGACGGCGGCCACACACAGTCGCGTGGCTGCGCGCCGACGCCGTACGAAGCTGCCAACTGCCAAGCTCGACCGAGCCAAAGTCAAACTCGAAGCTAAAGAGCTAATCAGCTGACTCGGCGCCGTCTGTTCTCGGTGCGTGCGAGGCGCAGCTGGACGCGCTATTTTCTCGGCTTGGCCGACGGCTCGAATAAGCCGGCGGAGCGGCGGCGAGCTGCAGCGGCGAGTCGAGCAGAGCGTGGCGCGAGTGACAATTGAGCGAGCGGATGGGGATTAATCGTCGGCGGCCGAGCCGGAGCGCAGCCAGCGCGCGGCCCTCCTAATTGCGACGGATCGCCAGCTCCCGCTCTAACGTTTATTGAGTCTATTCAGTTCTGAATGCGGCTCCAGTTCGTTTACGAGAGCTAGTTGTTTAATCGTCGCCCGGATTAGGCCAGTTGAAAATTCCTCCTCTTCGTTGTTCCTGTTATATGGCCTGGCTGGGCTCGCTCTCTCGCGCCAACTCCCGCCCAAGTGGCCACCGACTTACGGGTCAGGCTATACAGCTGCAGCCAACTGCGCGACCGCGATGACGACGCGGCTTAATATTTATAACCGCTGGATTGCAGTTTATAGCCGCGATCGCATAAAACTTTTACGGCATATGAATGATGCAGTAGCTAGTCGTCGATGACTCTAGACACTTTATTTGTTCTTGCGGGCGTGCAAGCGCCAATCGGCGATTAAGGCGGAAGGAAGGCACGCTTCGCCCGTGGCTGAGCAGCGCCGCGCGGCCAGCCCACGGCGGCCACGGCGCTGCGCGCCGGAGCTTCTCCGGACTCGGGGCCGAAAAGCCGATAATATCTGCTTTTCTGCTGACTGACTGGTGTAGTGGGCGCGCAGTCGAGCCGAGAAAAAGAAGCGAGCGAGCGAGCGAGCGAGCGAGCGGGCGACCGACCGAGCGACCGAGCGAAAGAGCGAGCGAAAGAGCGCCGCAGGAAGGGGGAAAGAAGGACACGGCAAGAGGCCTCGGTCTGGATAGGCGTGCACTTAACAACAGCCGCGAGAGAGGAAGGCCGAGGACCCCCCGAGAGAACGAGAGAGAGAGAGAGAGAGAGAGCGAGAACGTCGCTCTCTTGGTCGCCGTCGCGGAGCCTGCGCAGCTGAGCAGCCGGCTATACAGTCGACGCCTCGCCGCGATAAAACGCGCCCGAGCGCTAAGTGATCTCATTATGCGCCCGTGCGCGGTTCTCGCGATGGATATATCATGCCAAAGTCAACGGGCGCTCGCCTGCTCGCTCCCTCTTTTCCAACCTTTCTCTCCCTCTGTCCTGCTGTCCTCGCTCTCTCTTTCCCTCTCTGCCTCTCGCGCGCGCGCCCGCGGAGATAGCGCCCACCGTGAATTTTTCAGCCGCTTTCGTTCAATTATCACTCGCGCTCGCTATGCTGCTACCGCTGCTGCATTATGTTTTAATTGACTGCTGAATATTTCCGCTTTATTAATTTCTTTAAAAGTTACGCGAGCGCGCGCACGAGCTAATGGCCATTAAATGTCGCGAGCTTTCATAACCCCGATAGGTTTCAATTCGTCGTGGGTTTCGTATGCCGACTGGCTTTTCTCTTTTTCCCGTGGTTTATGGCACTTGACATTTGCGTGTTGGAACGATTAGGAATCGGTCGATCGTATATGCGGGGCGATCAATAACGCGCGGAACAAAGAAGGGAGGCGAGCAGCCAGACAGGAAGAGTGCTGCGCGGGGCACAATTGGCGAGCGCAGATAAACCGATCAATTTTTGCGTACAATAGTAAATCATGGCGGAGCTAGCAGCGAAATTCCACGTGTGCGTCGGAAATTCCTCGGTTGCAGCGCGCGGCGGAGCGTCGTTAGGCAGGCGGGCGGGCGGGCAGGCAGGCAGGCAAGCAGGCAGGCAGGCAGGCAGGCAGGCAGGCAGGCAGGCAGGCAGGCAGGCAGGCAGGCAGTCAGGCAGGCAGTCAGGCAGGCAGGCAGGCAGCATCTGACAATCGCGAGATTCGACTCGAGTATATAGTGGCAGTAGTTGGCGCACACGGAGGAAGGAGGGCGGCAGAGAGGGAGAGCGAGGCGAAGCCAGCGCAGACATAGACTGGCACACATGCACACACTTGCATGCTCGCTCGCTCAATGTTCGCTTTGGCGCTTCTACGCTCGCCGACGCTCTCTCTCTCACTCTCGCTCTTGAGTCTCCGCGCCAAAGCCCCAGTGTAATAACATTAGACATCACACGGAATAACCTACGACTACGCCATTCGCGCTGGCAATTTCGCGGAGATATCGCGCAGCAGCGGGCGAGCGAGTGGCGGCAATCGCTAACTGCGGCTGCTGCTTACGGATCAATCAATTTCTCTTACTCTGTGACTGCTGCTCTGCTCAGGGCACTGTCTGGAGCTTATTAGCGACGTGTCGGTGGCGGCCTGAGCGTATCCTGTATCCTATATCCAGTATCCCGTATCAGCTGCCGCAGCGGTAGCCCACCTCCTTGGCAGCGCTCCAAAGCTTCGCCAGATCAAAAGCTCCCTCCTCCATGGCTCCCGTCTCTCTCGCTCGCTCTCGCTCTGCTCCGCTCCGCTCTCTGAAAGCCCTGAAACACTAAACGCCACGGCGCTACCGCGCAAGCGATATCTCTTGCCCTCTCTCCGTCGGTGCCGTTCGCGCGATGCGTCGCGCCGCGCTGGAAAATCTCGACGCAAGCTAAAGAGCCACTCGCCTCTCTCGCTCTCTCGCTCTGTCTGCAGCGAGCCACGTCGCTTCGACGCTTCTTTTTTGCTCGCCTTTTTGTCGACTTTTACTTGTGCATACGGCCGATTTTTTTATTTTGCCTCCCGATCTTGGCAGCGCAGTTTGCCCGCTTAGTTTGCGACATACTTTATCCAAACTTTCATCACAGATTAATTCTATCGGCAGTTTAGAATGAGTTCGCCGATTGCTCTATTAACCCGGCTATAATTTAAATCTTGGGCTACTATCGGTTAGTTTACTTTTCGCTCTTGCTTAGATTAGACTAGCGTCATGATTCTTGCCGTCCACGTAATGTTAATTGAGTACCTCAAAGAAAAGCCAATTAGCTCATTGAATTGCAGTTAAATTAATAAAGCGACGAAACAATGGAGTTTATGCGAAATCATTATTTAATTCGAATTAGCTTGGCGCCGCTGCTGCACATTACAAGGTAGTTAGCGATATCATTTTGGAAACGCAGACATTTAAGCAACTCTCGATCATACAAATTATTACTATCCGACTTTCATTGCTTTAGTTAATCGCAACGTAATATATTCCAATGTATTTCATCAACTGGTCTGCACTATTACGACGAGGAATGAAAATATTAATGAGTGTTGCTTCGCAAAATAAAGCTTGATGAAATCGAGGAATCAGTGATAAAACCCGTTAGAAAATAAATGCTTGATATTCATCGAGGGACAATTAGATTGTCGTTTTAAAACGCCTATCATTTTAAACGAACGTTACAAAGGGTTTGCCAATAAAATACGATCGTTCACTGATTTCGCTGAAGAAAAATGGCTCTTTCATAAAAGCAATATGAATAAAAAACGATTGCTCCGATCCGGGAACAAAAGTGAATTTCGTCACGTCCATTAAACAACAAATATGCAGATGCGATTCGACAAACAGGCGAGGCGGCGTATAACGAATAACTAATTGAACTGGAAACACAAACGACCGATCGGCGCGGCGGCGGACGGCGTCGGACGGCGTCGGACGGCGTCGGACGGCGTCGGCACGGCGTCGGCGACGACAGAGGACTGAAATCACTTGGGCGAACTTTGCCGAGTTCGTCTAGCTCGCGACGAAACGATTAAAAGTAAAGTCGAAACTGAAATGGGTAGTAGGAAGTGGCGAAGCTCGGAACGAGCCGTGGAGAGCAGCGGAGATTTGCCCCCACCTCGGCCCGAAAAATCTGGCCAAGATTCGCGATCGCGTCAGCTTGTACTGGACCAGTTTTTTCCTCAGCGTCGATTCTCTCACGGGCGGGGGGATGCTGCTGAGAAACTGGACAACGGTCAAGCGCGCGAGCGAGAGATGTGACGCGGAGCGAGCGAGAGATCGCAAAAGGGGTTGCGCGCGAGTACACCGCGCGCCCGAGATTCTGGTTTCATCCGCAGGGGGATGAGGGCTCTCTCGGGCTCTCGCGCGTGAGAAAAAGCCAACGCGGCGGAAGCGGGATTCTGCGCCGCCGTCTCGCGCGCGCGCGCTCTGGACCGGACTCATCCGCTCGCGCGGACGTCCCGGCCGACGAGCGGAATCGAGCCGCGATCGCGCCTGCCGATTAGGCGCGGCCGGCCGTTATCTTGGACGCGCCGGTCGCAAGGATCAAACGAGGAAAAAGTGACTTATCGCTGCAGGTACCTGCGGAGGCGCATTGTGCATTGTCAATGGCGTGTTTACTGGCACACAGTGCGCGCCATTCTCAGAAAAATAAGATTAGCGCAGTAAGCCTCGAACAATGTAACCGGAAGAGATTCAGTTCCGGCAAAGCGAACAAAAGCTTGCGCCACTTAAAAAACGAGTTACACCGAGGCGTTTTATTGTATCCGGTGTTTGGCTGCGCCCCTGCTTGGCCCACTTTTTCTCGAGCGCGCAGCATCCCGCAACGCCAAAACAAGCGTGAAAACCTATAGGTTTCGTGCACTTTGTTTGGCCAAAAGAGAGAGAGAGAGAGAGAGAGAGAGAGAGAGAGAGAGAGAGAGAGAGAGAGTCAGGGAAAAGGCGAGGGAAAGGGAAAAACTGTATTGTATTTTGTATCGCGGGAGCAAGCCGAGTAGAGTGTGGAGCCGTTGGCGCG